GACTGTCCTAACGCTGCTGATACTACATTATAGCAGTAAAGACAGGTGAGATGTTTAACGTACCGAGATTCCTGTCCTTGTACCTGTTTTCCTGTTTATTTAGAAATGAGCAAATCTAAGTAGAGGTGACTTTGCTAAGCCTATAGTGCAGCTGAACTTTCTTCCTGCTCCTTTGGCCAAAGGGAGTGGGACTGTCGTTTCAGATTTCATTTCTGTTCTCTCCCAGTGAGAGAGGGGGTGACGAGGGGAGCAGGTCGTTGGCCATCACAGCAGTTATCAGAGTTCTTTCCATGTCCTGCCACTCAATTAAGAAAAGTGTGACTGCTAATTCTTTGCTGAAAACCATGGAATTCCTTTCTCTGTGCACAAAAAGTTGTGGACATGCACAGATCTGGGCTTTCTAACCCTACCTTTTTGCTTGCTATACTATGAAATGTAGTTTCTGTTCTGATGCACAGACCCTTTCTCATTCTGCATCTTCTCAGCCAGGGTCCAAGGGCATTTAACTGCTGAGTCATCCAGCCAGGGATCAGTTGCATTTTTCTGCTGCATTACAGGCATTGCATATGATCAGTTCAGCCACAAGCTGCCTCTGAATGAGGAAGGGCAGTTTTTCAGGCTGCTGAGTTGCTGAAAGATGGCTGTAGATGTGGGTATCAGTTATGGTTGTTTTTCATTAATCAGAGCATCTGTTAGCTGCAGGGGCCAGAGAAGCCCTGGCTGACCTGTGGCCTTTGAGGAGGCTCTTGAGCTCTGGCCTGCACCCCACAGCTCTCTGGTGTGGATGCTGGGTCCTGTGGTTCTCAGCTGTAGCAATATTAGCTTGAGATGACAGGTAGCCTGGGAGAGGGGAAAGCAAGTGAGGCATCTGCCACCATCACTGCCTGTGTGGATTTCCTCCTTCTGGAGCTGCCTTATCATTTGGAGCTGAGTGTGCCATTTTGCAATGTCTAGTAGAAGCCAGAAGGGTTTGGTTTGGGGAACACCAGGTTTTCCAGTGCCCTGCATTGCATAACTTGCATCTGCGAGCCAAAGCACTGATTGATCCTCCAGGCAAGGCTGTGCAGGCAGCTGCCTCCAGCTTCATGGCAAGGACAGAGTAAACTGTTGCAAAATTCTTTTCTCAGGGATTCCTATCCCCCTTTATGTTGCGTTTCCTTCTGAAACCAGATTTCTGTGACACATGTGTATTATCTATTGTGTATGCTTTGTATATGCTTTTTCCCAGCCTCAAGCCTCTTTTTGAGGAAAAACATATATTTCTTTCATTCAGTCAGAGCCATTTTTGGAAGGACTGGAATTTGGATTCTTGCTTATGACTTGCAAGTACAGGCCATGACTTCAGGGTGCTCTGTGTGTTATTGACCACATGCTGTTGTTGGAGTCTCGCAACCTCTCCCTTAGACTCTCTCTTTGCTTGCTTTGTATAAAACACTTTTTTTGACAATGTTCTATAACCATCTTATTTCTAGACTTCTGCATATACAACTGAGAGCACAACTGTCAAGGCACAGTGTCCTTCTGGGGTAAGAGTTTGCTTCATTATTTAATGCAACTGATTATGTGAAATGTTTTCCCTCTGAAATCAAATCTCTGCTTCGCCTGTCCATCCCAGTGTCCAGTACAGCTGGGCTGGATGCCACTGTTTTGATCCAGGGCTGCGGTTTTGTTCCTCATGTTGGCTTTTCTTGCTGTTGTAAGGTAGCTACTTGCTCGGCTACTTAGCACAGAGTTAAAGGATCACACTGCATGTGTTTGACCTGACTGTCTTTTTTTGTATGTTAGTATGAGCCCTGGGTGGTTGGAATAGCCGCAGGGATACCCAGCATTCTGGCCTTCATCCTTGCAGTCATCTTGGCGGTGGTCTGTGTTCTCCAGTGGAAGAACTTCAGATGGTATCAGGTGACTACCTTCCACCTCCTGCTTCTTCCAAGCCTACACCTCCACAACAGAAACCTGCTTCAACACCCTCTGCAGCTCTCAGGAAGTTCAGGACCACATCGTTGGCACTCATACTGTCTCTGCTCTGTCTCTCAAAAGCTGGACCTCAGCCTACAAGCTGAAGGTTCATAAGAATAATAGAGAAATTCATGCGAAAATGTTGAAGGGGCACTGCCAAGTGGTCTGTTAACTAGCAGGAGTTTTTTAAAAAGCCAAACTATTGCTACTGTCCTTTAGTGAATTTCTCTGCCATTTCCCGCAGGAATTCATTAATTTAGGGATCCTTTCACTTCAAAATGATGTTCCTTACCTCCAGAAATGCTGACAAAGTGTTTTATAGTATGTTCAGTTTGGTCCCCTTTTTCCTCTGTTCCAGCCCATGGGTTGAGTCTTCATGTTCTGCCTACCTCCCCAGTGCTGGGGTAGAGTTAGGAGTTTCTGTAGCATCCTGCTTGCTTCCTCTGAGGTGAAAAAGTCACCTGCACCATCAAAAAGACAGTTAACGAGGAAAAGGAAGAATGCCATGAAGGATTCTGGCAGGCAGACATTGACAGCTCTACCTAAAAGGGCCCTTTCCTTCCCCTGCCACTTTACAGATGTTTTTAACCAGCTCTAGTACTTGCACAGGTCTTTGTTTCCTTGCTTTAGAGACGAAGATATAACAGTACCAAGGGAGATGAGTTCTGTGTAGTTGTTGGTTAACATAATATTTTTTAATTTCTTTTTTGTTTGTTTGTTTTCTGGCGTAAATGTGAAAGCGAGGGTTTTGCCCTGTGTTAAAAGACCAGAGAGGTTTTGGATGTTCTAATAAAGGCAACACTCAGCCATTGAGGTTTCCCCTCTCTCTACAAGGCCATTCTCATGGACAGGCATCATGTTGACCCTGTGATTGTTCCAAATGAAAGAGGGGTGTTTGTTGTTTTCTTTTCATTTTGGCATCCAGCTTAGAATATGTTGGATATTATCTCCAGTATTATCTCGTGTGGCTGTTTATCCCCTGAGTATGTCCTGAGTTCTGGAGCTGTTAAGTAACTGAACATTTTCTCCACTGCCCTGTGCTTCTTACGCAGTTGTTTGTGAATTGTAGGTAGGTGTTGTTTTTCACTGTTTTCTTCATAGTTTCGGATGAATCACCTTCCCAGTGGGCAGGAAGAACATGAATATGAACGAACCCCTCCCAACCCTGCAGATGTAAGTCGTCTCTTAACTGATACTCAACATTGCACTAGTGCTGCTGAGAGTGTTACTAAATGTAGGACTGGCCTTAAGGGTAGCCCTAGACTAATAGCCCAATAATGGTATTCTCTTTCTGCATGCTTACCTGAAGCTCCTAGATGACTGCTGTTTCTGGTTGTGTGTCTGTCTATTTGATGCTATCCTAGATGAGAGGCCAGCAATGGCCTCTCTAATTGTTTTAGAGTAGACAGGCATTAAATCTACATCCTGCATAGACAACCATGGAGGGACAAGGAGGGATGAACCTGAGATGTGAGCATATATGACATTTTCTTCAAAATACTGCTAAAATTTCCAAAAGGAGGTGGGAATTCTTGCATGCTGTATTCTCTGTGGTACTCACAAGGTCTCTGCATACCTTGTAACAACCATGACAAAAATTATATTTTGCCTCTAGGGCCATTATATGACCATGCAGAATACAACAAATGTGTATGCAAATGAAGTTCAAGGCAGACACCACAGACCAGACACCCAAATGCAACCAACTCCCACGAGGACGAAGAAGCCTAGAAGTGAGATACCTGTACCAGAATCCATTTATGAAAACCATCCACCCCATTACTGAAAGAAAAGCACCAAAAACTGGCTGTGACCAGAAATAACTGACACAATAATTTTACTGGACACCAGGGGTCACACAGTTGCAGTTTACGAATAAGAGAGTTTTCTCTTCGTGCATACATGGAATTCTATGGAGAACTGGACAAAGAGACTTTGAATGGTGGAAGAACTTGTTTGCAATGATGCCTCTGAGATACGGAAGCAAAATCAGACCCCCCTGGAGTACTCCAGCTCTCTGGGACAGATGGTTTTGCTGTCCTCCTAAATTAATTCATTATAATAAAGAATATCTAAATCCTTGCAGTGATACTGTTGGTAGAAAAAAGCACCCAGAGAGTTGGTTGGGGTCCCCATCACTCAGGTGCCTGAGATCCTCGCAACAGCATGCAAAGACAGGGATGCACTCTTCGTTTGGCAGAAGGAGTCCAAACTGTAAGTGAGATTAAGTGATATGCCCAAGAAAACTGGAAGGAGAATGCAACTCCAGCTGCAGAACTTAGCCCCTATGATGGCAACTTCCCTTATTTCTCAGCTGTTCCTTATCTGCAATGGCCTGTCACTCACACTGTTCTCTGCTCTGTACCTTGACATTTCAGCTGAGAGGTTGGGTGGGAGTGTGGTTCAGGCAAGGGACACCATCCAGAGAAATTATCTCCTCAGCAGCCCCCTCGTGATTCATGTGAGGATGCTGAGTGGCTGCAGTGACAAGGTGGGGTTTTGCTGGCAAATGCCTTGGGGATAGCTGAAGGCCTGAGGGAGATGGTGGGAGGAGAACAGAGAGGAGGCATAGGGAAGGTGCTCCCAGCCTGTGGAAAGAATGGGATACAGTGTGCCTGAGAAATGAGAAGGGCCCCAGGAGCAGCCAGAGTTCCCATCGAGGGAGTGAAGGCAGACAGAGCTTCAGCCACTGAACTGGGAGGGGTAAGTGCTTTCCTCCAAGAGGCATGCTGCCGCTATCCTTCATCCAGCTGTGGGCAGGAGGATTGGCAGCCCCAAGAACGGCAGATAAAGCTGCTGATAGCCCCCAGGCTGCAGGACTCCCTTCCTCACCCACACTGTGAGCCTTCCTGACTGGTGGTGTGCTACAGCTGGCAAGAGGCTCCTTGCAGCCAGCAGCATTGGGATGAAGCAGGCAGGACCCTTGCCCCAGAAGGGAGAGCCCTTCCCACAGAGTGCTGGCCACAGATGCTGCAGACCTACTTTGCAGCAGAGCAGCAGATGTGAGTGCTGCCCCAACCCAAAGAAAATAACAGCTTGAATCCTCATAAATGGATTTTTCTTTATTGGGTCATTAACATACACACAGCATTACCCATCTGCGATGCATGCTGCTCTTGGTGGGACACATACTATGGGAGAAGCAGGTCATGGGCAGCAATGGGAGCTGTGTTTGTGAGAAAATCGACTGTTTGATGCAGCTGCTGTGCTCAGTGAGCCCATGGACAGAGTGTCAGTGCAACAGGCTGCAGTGTCACCCAAGGCCTCCCTGCCAGGTGGTGGAGCAGTTCTAGGAGGCTTTGAAGGTGTCTATTTTGTGCATGTACTTGTGTTTGGGTTGCCTTCCTGGAAGCCTTGGAAAGGTGGGCCAATGCTCCTGCCATCGGCTTTAGTAAGGGAGGTGTAAAGGAATAACCAGGCTCAGGACACCATGGAGATAGGTTTTGTGCTTTTCAGCGAGGTATAGCACAGAGCTTGTAGACAGGAGGTACGTTGCCTGTCCCACTCAGCGTTGGGGCTATGCTGAGTTCCTGGGGGTCGACGACAGCCTTCAAGGTAAAGTTCTGCAATATGGTAACTGTGAATAAGAATATTTCCATGCGTGCCAGGCCCTCTCCAGGGCATATTCGCTTCCCTGGAAGTGAAAAGAGCAAATAACACTCAACAAGTGTTGCCAAGCAGACCAGAGTTTGTACTAAGCTGAAGTGTTGCACCGTTGTATTTACCAGATGCAGCCACAGCAGTGAGATGACTGTCAGGATTACTTAAGGACATTTGCAAGAGAGGAAGGACCCTTGGAAGTTTGGTTGGGTGTGTGAGGGAAGAACAGGAGCAAGAGAAGTCTTAAACATAGAGGAGGCATCACAGAAAGCAAGATGAGAGAGAGCAAGGTGACATAAAGCATAGGTGAGAAAGTGGAGGGCTGGGGTTATTGGTACGTGGGTGGTAGCCTGAGAGGTACATAAGAGGTGCTGGGCAAAAGTGGAGCTACCACAGAAGGACAGGTTGGTTAAGGATCACTTTAGTGGTTGTGTAGGAAGGTGACAGGCTTTTTAGAATGTGTCAGTGGATCCCATTCATGTCATCGTCAACTCTTAGTAGGAGGTGTGAGATGCCATCAGGACAGAACAAGATGAGAGATGCCACAGGTAAAGGGAGCAGCAGGGAGGAGTTATCCAGAGAGAAGTGAGCCCCAAGGAAGCACCATTGGGACCATGCTGGGAAGATGAAGTGGGAAAGCCAGTGTGGTCCCCAGAGGAGGAGGCTAACGGAGAACGAGAGAGAAAGCCTGTGCTTTACCTGCTGAGAAGGGCATGAAGAAATCACTCTTCCTAAAGGTGCCGCTCTTGTTCAAGAAATGTCCAGGGTCGAACTCATTTGGGTTTGGAAACTCTTTACTGTCATGGAGGACAGAACTGAGGATGGGATAGATTGTGGTGCCCTGAGGTAACACAAGGAGAAGAGCAGAACATGAAGAGGAGGTGAGTTAGATCACTTAATTCAACTGCCGGCCAAGACTGAGCTTCCCAGCACAGCCCTACCAGTGCCTTTAGTTTCCATCTGGGGACCCTTCCTTTGTGGAGGCAGCTTTAAGGAGACCCTGCTAGATGTCACAGCAGGGACAGTTGGCTGCTCTTCTTGAATGTTTCATCTCACTTTCAGACCATTTATCCTCACCTTACTCTGGTCATCTGGGGATACCCACCTAATTCTTCCTGTTTCTTAGTGTTTCACAATAACGAACTCGTAGATGCACTCTGTTCCTTCTTTTCTATGAGCCCCCAAAAGTGGAAATGAAGCTGTCTTCCCCTCTCCTGACAAATTTATCCTGCCATGATCCTCTTTCTTTGTTCTTCCTGACCAGCCATTGATGGGGGAGTGGGATAAATAATCCAGCAGTGGTGACACAGGAGGCCTCTGCTAGAAGCTGAGCAATTTCTCAGCTCCTGCCTTTTGATTTCACACAGCTGAAAATCAAAATGCCAACAGCCCATGTGCTGGTGTTCGCCTGCTGTACAGAGTCACCTGGAATAGCAAGGACCATTGCTACAGCAGGCCAGGCCAGGGGTTGCTGTAGCCCGTCAGCCTGCCTCTGGAAGTGACCAACAGTGAATGCCTCAAGAAGTGTGTAATAACAGGGCAACACATTTTGCTTGTTCCCTTGGATGCAAACATAACCTCCAGCACTTTGTGGCTCAGGGGCTTTCAGTGCTCGATAGCCACCAACTGACTTTGCTTTCTAGCACATGCATAGGCTGTCCTGGATGGTGGTGGTAAGTTCCACAGCTTTGCTGCCTTTTGTGTGAGGAGTCACTGCTTTGTTTTTTTTGTGAACCCACTTGGTTTCTGCAGATAGGTAAAGCTGTAGAGCAAGTGAGCAAAAGTGTTGGGCAGAGCTACTGTTCCAGTCTTGGCCCATGGAGTGGCAACAAGGGATTACAAGTGAGCTACAGGAATCTGAGGATAAAACTTTCACAAATAGCTGGGTGACAACAAGGTCAGGCCACACCATTTCTGGCTGCTGGCTTGTAACTGACAACCTAAGAGCAAGGACGCTGCCACCCTGTTGTTGAACTTGAGAGAGCTTGCCCACTAACCTTGGGAATGACATACTCTCTGAAGGGAGTATCTTTGGTCACAGTGTGGGGGAGACTCAGGGGGATGAGGGATATGAAGCGCTGGATTTCATGGACCACAGCATCTGTATAGGGCATCCGTGTCCGGTCAGCCACACAAGGTTTTCGTGATCGTCCTACCACCTGGTCGATCTCCTCTTGAACTTTCTCTGTCATGAGAGGCACAAACCATAAAATGGGTAAATAAAACCAAACCTACCTAAGCTGTCCACAGATCACAGACTACAGGAGCATTGATGTTGGTTTAGGTGTTGACTAGAACACAGCTCTATGGTGGCACATGCAAAGAATGTCCTCCTAGTGACTTGGCTAAATAGGAGTACTGGGAGATAAAGATGTGGACACAGTCAAGCTCCTGGCTGATGATGATGCCAGTGAAGCTTAGGGATCTCAAACGGCCATCCTGAGGAATGACAGTGCAAGGATTTTGCCCATTTGGGTAAAATAGAGAGAGGAGAAAAGCTGGGAGAAGGATACGTTGTTAGACACATGCCCAGCCCAGGGAAATAGCTAGAGAGGAAAAGATCACAAACTGGTACCTTGTATCTTTGGGTATTTGAGAAGAAGCAGAAGTCCGTATCTTAGGGTGGTACTAGTTGTCTCTGTTCCAGCAGTGAACAAGTCAAAGCTGGTGGTAATCAGGTTCTTCATGTGGAAACTGGAATTTGGGTTCTCTTTCTCCTAGGGAAAAGGCTGAGATGTTGCTCTGACAGAGCTGAGAAAAGTGGCCCTATCTTCTGTCATCCCAGGCCTTTCTTTTCACCTAGAGCTGTTGCATTTCTCTGCTAAGATTGCAACAGCCATCTGGGACATTGCAATGCTGTCTTTGTGCAGTAAGCTGAACCTCAGAGCAAATGGTCCATAGCTGCCTGTTTGCCCTTGCTGTGAACTGCTTTCCAGTGAAAGAACTGCAAGACAAGACTGCAAACGTCCCTGTGTTTCAGTGAGAGCAGATGAAGGTCTTGCTGTCCCAGCAGCTGCAGGTAGTGACTGGTGAGTGTGCAGACCCAGAGTTACAAGCTCTAGCACAGGCAGTATCTGTGGTATTGTTGATTTCTTCCCACTGCACAGCCCAGCTGCCTGGGAAGAGGTCATCTCAATGTCTGAGTTACGTAGGAGAGAGACGGGGCTCAGCATAGGTGTGTTTGGGGATGAGCTGGGGCTGTATGCTGTCTCCTTACCTCCTGCATTTTGCTGAGGAAGCAGTCAATGAAATCCTGAGGGGAGCTGGGTTCTAGGGAGGCTTCGTGTATCTTCACCTCCTCTGACACAAAGGCTTTTAGAGCATCGAATTCCCTGAACATATAGTTGTGTGGGCCAGGCAAGTAATCCAAGATATTTGAGAACATCTGGTAAAGCTGGAAGGAAAGAAACAGGAAGGTCTCTAGCATGACCATTGCCCTATCCTTTGATATTAGCAAAAAGCCTAGGAAGGCCACAACCCTCTCAACTGAGCCAAGCAGAAGGGCTATGAGGCTGGGCAGTCTGACAGGGCAGTAGGGGCTTGCTTAGTAGTAGTAGGAACCTTAAAGGTGTAGAAGAAAGGTGTTCAGGACTAGGGGGAAGCTGCACTTAGCTGGCAAAGCCAACTCCATTGGTGAGGATGCCTCTTGCACATGAATGAATTCCCTCCTGTGCAGCAAAGCATTGATGGGATCCTAGTTAAAGACTGAAATGGGACTTCACTGGGAGGGAGGCCTCCTGCTCCCCTGGGAGAATGTGGCCACTATGAAATGGCTACTGAATGTACCTGTCCCCAGCGGGAGTTCATCATTTCAAAGATAGTGTTCAAGTTGTTCATCAGGGCCAGGAACTTCTTGTCTTTATAGTCATATCGTTTTCCAAAGACAATGGAGCATATGACATTGGAGACAGCACAGCTCAAAGTGAAGGTCGGGTCAAAAGGTGTTCCTGTGATTTCAGGAATCAAACCATAAAGTCAGGATTTCGAGCCATAAAAAAACCCCAAAACTATGGCTACTTATGGCTACTGTGGGTAACCTGATCTCTGGTTGTTAGTGGAAATATCACATTGCAGTCTCTGAGTGACACAGAAGGGTCCTCCAAAAAAAAGAGAGTACATGAATGCAAAATTACTTACTGCTTTGTAATGAGGGGTAGCTGGTGCATGGACCAAACACATGGGAACTTCACTGCTATGCTAAAGACATGGGCTCACTTAATGCAGTCTTTTTTTTTATTCCCCCCGCCCCATCAAACATAAGCTATATTAAAAATGGACCATACCCTTTGTTTTGTTGATCTCTTCCAGCAAGTACTCAGATTCCTCCTGAATCCTCTCTTCGATGCTCCTCTTCCCCATTCCAAAGTTGCGCAAAGTGGTGAGAGCAAACCGCCGGACTTGTAACCACTCCTCGTTGTTGCTAAAAACAATCCCTGCAGAGGAAGAAGGAAGAGGGAAGACCTGGCTTGGGTGTGCTGGCTGTGAGATGAACAGAGGCTCATGGTGACAATGAATCCTGTCCCTGGGAGAGCACTGACATGGTAGTGTCATAGAGTACTGTGGTTTGGAGGCAGTCTGTGGAGGTCATGTAGTCCAACTGCCTGCTTTTGGCCTTCTGCACCACATACTCAACCTCCTTATGAATATCTCATCACTCATATTCGCACACAATTTCCCTTGCAGCAGCTAGTGGCTGTTGCTGCTTGCCCTTTCACTGCCCATCACTGAGATCAATCTGGCTCCATTTCTCTGCTACCCTCTTCAGGTGCTGGAAGCGAGCAATTACAGCCCAAGCTGCCTTCCTTCTCCAGGTGGGACCCACCCACTCCCTGCAGTCTCCCCTTGTCCCAGGCTAATCTGCTGAACACACCCTCAGCCCTTCCATTTTTCTTAGAAGGAGCTCAGGCAGCAAACATACCTAATCCATTGTTAACCCTGTCTCCTATTGCCATGTGTCCTCTGGCCGCAAACTCATCTGCGCGATCAACCAAGGCTTCCTTCACCACATTGTATCCGTGCAGCACCACCACTGGGTCAGAGCCTAGGTGCACTGTGAACACTGGTCCATACTCTTCACTCAGCTGTCAAAATGCAGGAGAGAACATGGCCATGGACCACATAGGGAAGAGGAGTTGAAAAGTGGGCTTACTGCTGCATCCCACTGCAGGCAGTCCAGCCTCATAAACCAGCAACGTCAAGATTTGGTCTTCTCATGATAAGTTTGGGTGAGGAGAGGGTTCCTAGCTATCAGGCCCTGAACAACAATGGCAACAGCAGTGAGGGGGAGCAGCTGGGGTCCTCATGACATTGCTGCTGCTCGGGGATTGCCACTCATCAAGCTATGACCACAGGTTGTCCCCGTGCACATGTCCCACACATTTCTCGCCCACAGAAGAAAGTAAGAGATAAGAAGAAAGTTGCCTTACCTTCTGGAAGGTTTTGGCCAAGTTCTTTGGTTTCACCTGCAGCACGTTACCTAGGATGGGAAGGGGAGCCGGTCCTGGAGGCATCTTTCCCTTTCCAGACTTTCCTTTCCATGCTGCGAAGGAGAGCAGGCAAGCGATGCAAACCAGGAGGACAACAGTGGCTGCTCCCAGGAGCTCCATTTGCTTCTGTGGCTCAGAGGGGAGTGACCCTGGCTGCCAGAGTCCGGGTTTATATAATGAGGGGATATGTTAGCTATGTTAGCTCAATAGTAGGTTTTGGATCACATGGCTGAGTTCATGTTCCTAGTCAATCATTTGTTAGACTGCCCTGTGTTACGAAACTAGGACTTCTCTTGGTGATAATTGGTCATTGAAGACACACCTTATCTCAGACAACTGCAGAGGCCAACAGAGATTAAGAAATTTATAATGTGCTTATGAAACTTGTTTTGTTTCACCTAGTGTTCACTGTTAAAGAAATCACACTAGGGGTGCAGTATTCTGCTGAGGTGAAATTCACTGAAATTCACTGTCATGAGAGCATCTTCTAACTACTTCAGTGCCATTTGAATTTTCTATTCTTCATTATTGATTGTACGAGATCTCAGTGGGGTGAGCCATCCTTCCTTGTTCCTGAAGTCTTTCTGGCATCATCAGTGGAGTTCGTACTGCATGTGATGTGCCAAAGAACATACTGACATGTTCTCAGTGCACAGCAATTGCCTCAGTCTCTCTCTTTCTAGGGGTGCCTGGCCTCACAGGAGGTGAAAGCATAAAATATTCATCTAGCAAGGGCATAAAAGTTTCCAGACATCACAGTAGACAAGAAAGGACTTGCTGGGACTGACAAGACATAAGAAAATGGGACTATACCTTGGGATTCTGACCTCTTTAAGGTCTTCTAAAGGAGAGAAAGAATGAGAGAAGAAGGTAGAGAAGAAAGAAATCAAGAACTTGAGAGCATCTCTAGGGAATGACTTTTTGAGGCAGAGATGCACTTGTGAGCAGCTGGGTATATATTATTGCAACCTGGCAACTTCTCCTTGCACTTGCAATGACCAGAGAAAACCCACCCAACCTACTGCTGGAACCTGGCATGCACAAGCTCCTGTTTTGTTGATGTCTGACTCCAACATGAGGAACTGCTGCCCTGGAAGGGCCTGAGGTGCTTTGGGAGGCTGCAGCGCATGTCTGATGTGTTGCAAGGACTTCAAAAAGAGCTAGAAGCTTCCTGCCCAAGACCTCTCCAGGGGCCTGCAAGGTCCCAGCGGCAGTGGCAATGGCAATTAGAAAAGAGCCTCGGGGTTGTGGCTCTGCCTGTGCTCATTTTGCTCAATCCGGCCATATTGTCTGTCTCTCCTGAGCTGTAACACTTTTGCAGGCAGACAGATCTCATCCAACTAAGCAGAATGTGTTGTGAGGATAGGAGATGTGGGGCTTGGTGGGAATTAGCGAGAGGCCTGGGTGAACCAGGTGCTTGGAGTATGCTGGGTTTGCTGTGGAGCAGTGTGTTAATGTGAGTGTGTCTCCTTCGCTTGGAGCTCCTAGTGAAGGTCTCCATCCCTTGCAAAAGTTTCTTTAGTTTCCCTATGAGTTTTTAAGTCATCCTTGCTCTCTCACACAGGTGTAGTAATTTTCTAGCTCTTTTTAATCTCATCTCACTTCTTCAAGATCTGTACTTGATACTTTGGTGGAAAAACTGAATCTCCAGTTTGGGCTGTTTGCTGATCTGCTGACATAAGCTGCTGCAACATTGCCAGGGCAGTTCATGAAAGTTCATGTAGCTCACCTGATGAAAGTGGTGTTCATGGGACTTTGCACTGCTACATGAGGTCTCTCTTGCCAGCATTCATGACCTTACCACCTTCCCTGTAAAATTCCCTTGTTCCTGGGCCAAGGGCTCAGATCCCAGCTCTGCCTCACAGCTTGCTACATACTTTGGGCAAAAGCCCTGGAACTGGGAATACTTTCAAGATTTCTTATTTTTATCAGGATAAAATCATTGTATTCCAAATATTCCCACCATCCTGGCAGACACACTGCGGATTTACAAGGGAGGAAAACATGTAAGACTAGTCACTCAGACCTTTTCCTGTGGGAAGCCAGTCATGTCACAGTAGTGTCCAAGGGTTTCTGAATACTCGCTTCTGTTTGCAGACGCTGTCGCCTCCATCCATGTGAAAATTCAGGAAAGCTAGGCTGAAACTGCCTTCTCTCCACTTTCCCCAGGAGCTTTGGTTTTAAGTTCATTGGAGGCATGTATTAGGGATATTCAAAGAAAAGGCTACCAGAGTTGTAGCTTTGCCTGTTTTGAGTGCATTGTTCCTCCGTACACTGCCATTTTGTACCGTGTACAGTGCATGGTACAGACCAGACACACAGTGATCCCATCAGAGGCAAACCCGCAATGCACAGGACATTTTGTACTAGTGTTCCTGGCACTTCTTGGTGGTGGTGTTTAATACTTCTTTTTCTTCCCACAGGTCTCTAGAGAGCCTGCTGCAGCCAGGACAACGCCTACACTGCCACTATGTCTGCCCCAGTCTCCCAGGCTCAAAATTGTCAGAGAGAGAGGATTTTCCTGATGGTTATCCCAGAAAGATTTTTAGCTTGTAGGGTTCGTGATCAGCTTCAGGCTAGCAGCCTACAGAGACATTTGCCTCACCTCCCTTTATCCTCTGCATGTCCTGTTTGTGGTGGTCTTGGATGCTAGCTAAATTGGTGCTTACAGCTGGGTCACAGTAATGCATGAGAACTATCAAATGGGTGAAGAAGAGATTTGTGAAGAAGGGAGACTTGCCTGTTTCCTCTCAGCCAGGCTGCTTTCCACTGCCTATAAAAAACTTCTTCCAAACAAAGCATTTCATTTCCATGAATTTCAGGCTCATTTCACTTGCCTCCCATCTCCACATCATCCAACACAGATATCAAGTGTGTGTAGAAATCAGCAAAGGGCACTTCCCTGAAACTGTTTTCAGCATGGGTATTGCTTGGTGGATCTACAGCACACCCAGTGTTGTTTCACATAGAATTATCCTTTGAGTACCTCTAGAGGTTTTTTTCTGTTAGCATAAACAAAGTATTGGTTGGTTAAAGTCTAATGAAAATTATCTCTCTATAGCTTCAAAGTACTTTGTTTATTTGTTATTATTTATCCAATTATCAGCAGGTAATACGGGCAAGTGAAGCATTCACCAGTCACACAGTAGCTGTGAGATTTAAGCAAGTGCTTTTAGTGCTCAGGTTCCACGGAGATGAAGCCTCCCTCCCTGCCAAAGTCCAAATGTTTTTCCCAGGTACCTCTCCATCATGGCTGCCTAGTGCCCAAGCAGGCACTGGGATGAGCACATTTGGTTTGTGAGGGCTGCTCAGAGAGCAGCCATGCAAGCAGCCTGATGTGATCCATTTGCTTCAGTCCTCACTGTGCAGGGCAGCAGGAAAAGTCTTGTACTTTGTGGAGCAGTGCATGAAATAAGCAGTGTGCAGGGTAGGCACGGTGATATTCTTCACCCAGCTGGCCGGCTGGGATCATGGCCTCCTTTACAGCTGCAGGGGAAGAACAGGCTATGGGCTATGGTAGAAAAGCAGAGGAGACACCTGCCTTGGACTCAGCTACTACCCCTGCCTGGTGATGAGGGCTGGCTGAAGGGGCAAGTGTGCTGCCCACTGCATGGTGCTGTGCAGACATCCGGGAGCTGGAGGGTCTGCTGAGAGCAGAAGTGTGGGTGGCTACCAATGAAAGTGCTTTATTAAGGGTCAGGATTAGAAATCCTACTCATCTAACACAGACACCATGCTGGAATGTGTGTGACAATCTAGACCCAAAGAAATAAGCAGATTATGAAAGGTCATGATAGCACATGCCTTGGTATCAGAACACATGCCACTGCTCCCACAGCAAAAAGTAGGAAATAAAAAGGCAGGTGCAAACTATGTGTGCATTGCTTCTGCAACAGTGTAAAGACATTCACACCTCCATTACATGAATGCAGAGACATCTGTATGGGAAGATGAACAATAAAGCTTTTACTCCATGTGCGTTCTGTGGACTGATGTGTGGGTAGGGAGAAGAGTCGACGTGAGACACATTGCAGTTACAATCAGGCAGGCAAAGCTTTCTGTGGGATCACAGAGGCTCCCCTGACCTGTGTTTCAGGCCCATCTTAGGCTTCCAGAGGAAACCCCTCAGCTCTTGGGGGTGGGGGTCCCACCGAGCATATGGTCCTGCTACTGGAACAGTCCAGTAGCTATCCCAGTTATCATAATTATTATGCGCACAGCCGCGCTGCAAATGGGGCTGAAGTCTGCAGCTAGGAGTGCTTAAGGGTTATCACCTCCTTTTTGGTGTTCAAAGTCCCCTGAGCTCCCTAGTTGTCCACAGATTTCATATGGAGGGCTATTTCTGTCCTTCTACGTCAACATCTTGTGTCTGGCGTTTGAAAGAGCAGCACCTTTAAAAGAGCAAAAAAAGCATCATCACTCAGGTTTTTGCAGTCATGCCATGTAATGAGCAATTAGAGCAGCAGCAGGGTACACGGGGAAAAGCATGTGGATTTCCTGGATGGGCCAGCAGTGGGACCAAATCAGGGTGAGAAAAAAGGCTTTCAAGGCCCTCCGGTGGCTCTACAGTAAATTGCACAGATGAGCTTCTTTTAGCTCCGCGATGTGAACACAGACCCATCTCTTGACATAGGCTTAGCTCCTTCCTTAAGGTTTTCTTCAAAAGATGCAAGCAGACTGTGATGGGTTCAGAACCAGGTGAAGGCAATAGAAGGTGTTAAACTGCCGGACTGGGTCCACCTGCACATACCAGGAATCTCTGATACCGGCTGGCTACACAATTTAAAAGGGCTAGGTGAAGAGTAGGCGATTAATGGTCCTTAACAAGAGAGCAGGATGAGTGTTGCAGGGTGGTCTAGGACTGCATTCAGAGCTATTCTCTTTTGGGTTTTTTTTGGTCTCCTTGCTTTGGTTGTGGGGGCTCAGAGTAGGGGTTTATTTGATCTCACTCTGGTGGCCTGTGGCCAGGAAAGCCTGCAGCTCACCTTGCTTCTGGGCTGGGAAGGAAATGCTTCCTTTGTGCTGACAACTTGGGGTAAGTGAGGGTGGTGTCAAGAGGCTTTCTTACTGCTGTATCTTTGGACAGGGCAGAAGTATAGTTGGAATGAGGAGAAAGGGGTGGGTTTTTATGTGAAGTGTTGTCAAACAGCTTCAGCACATCTTGTGTAACACATGGGCTGTTTACATGACCTGGTAATCAAGGGTTTTGGTGGAGTTCTGTGCCTGTATCTAGATGACCTTGGCTGCTGGGTTCCTTCATGTCCCTCTGCTGGCCCAGACACTAATACTGGCTAGGGCCTTGTTTGCTATGGAAAAGTAGGATTGTAGTGGATGCTATCTTCAGTGTGGGATGTTGAAACCCCTGCTGCTGTCTCCTCCTCCCCTAGATACTGAGGGGAAGGCACATGCTCTGCAGAATTACTCTGACTGTGGACTCTGGGTAACTGGGACTCCAGAAGGCTCCAGGAAAGTTTTGGTCTCCTATACTGGCTGCTATGTCTTTGAATGGGTGAGTGACCTTAGGGGTCCTGCTGGGACTGTGGCTACTGCTGCTCTGGGTGCCCTGACTGATGTGGCTCTCTCCCAGGATGAAGATTATCTCATGCTGGCTGGGCTTGAAGGAACAGATGCTGCTGGGCAAAAGTTCCTTCATGAAGAGAAGCTGCTCAGGTGTCCTGTGGACCTTCCTGGTAAGACTGACATCTGCTTGGGAAACCTTGCTTGTATCTTCTGGCTATGAGTGCACTTCCTTTTGGATGGCTGTTCCTAGTCAGTCTGGGAGCTGGGGAAGGGGATTTGTTACTGTGCAGGACACTCACTGGAGAAGGATTTGAACACACACCAACTTGCTGGGGACTTGTGCCTCCTTTGCAGAGTCAGCAGGTGAATGTTCCTTGTGTCTCCTAGCCATATTATGACTGCATGAGACACTGCAAGTTCAGGGATTGAGCCAGAGACTAGGTACAATTATTTCCTTAACTACCAGAGTTGATCCAGAACACTTTATCTTGACAGATCTCGTGCAGTTCTGTCTCCTGTGCATGGCTTCAGGAGGGGTGTGTTCCAAGGAAATGCAGGTCCCTTCTGAGCAGACTTCTCTGCCAGCTCCAGGCCATGTGCTCAATGCTCACCTGAGTCTAACTTCCCTTGATTTGTATGCAGAGTCACCAGGACTACTTCCTCCAGCGTCCTCTGTGTCTTTGTCCCCCTACTTTTCTGCTCTTGCTGCAAACTTCTGCTATTTCTTCCAGCCATGGATGCTCCAAGCAGTAGTGTCTGTTCTGCTGTCCTCAGCCAAGACCGGCTGCCCTGTACCTCCCTGCCTATTAGCCAGGGGAACTGTGAAGTGTGAGGCTGCTGCTATGACTCCAGGGACAGGGTGAAGCCTTGCTACTTGGTAACACAGGTACATGTGAGCAGCTGTCCTCCTTTCCTCCTGAAGGAGCTGTGAACTGAGATTCCTCACTTCCCTGGCAGAACAGGATTGGTGTGTACTGGTCCTTGCAGATGGCTTAGGACTATGGTTTTGGCTGTTAAGAATTCCCTGTCCCATTGAAGTGTCCAGTCCTTTCATGTGTATTGCAACAGATCTGAGTTTATGGCAAGAGTGAGTGTTACTGTTAGATAAGAGTATATAGAGCTGGTTGCACTTAGTGCACTTGCAGTGCTAGTAGCACTGTGCTTAGACCTTGCTTTGGGGATTACAGGCAGGAGAACTTGCAGGACCTGCTGGCCTTGTATTTGCTGTGCTGCTTGTTTCCTGAGCTGGAAACTAATTACATCTTTTCCTTCAGTGACAGCTCATTGCACACCAGGAGGGCAGTCCTCTGTTGCTACCTCTCGGGATGTGACCCTGCCACCTCTCATTCTGGACTCTGTGAAACTGGCCAGTGGACGCAGTACTGTCTGCATGCCTGTCATGAAAAACAGTGCCTTTATTGTGTACCAGTTCCCACCCTCCGCCTGTGGCACCACTTTTCTGGTAAGAGCTGCAGCCGTCACTAGGCTGAAATAGCAGAAGGTTGCAGATGTAGAGCAATCTGATGTGGCTTTGGCTACTTAGTGGCCACTGTACAGACTTCCACAGGCAAAATGCTGTTCTCCAGCCTGGAATTAATCCATCTTGACTTTACTGCAGCCACAGTGCCTGGTCTGTCATTGCAGGTGACTGGAGACCAGGCCATATATGAGAATGAGTTGGTGGCATCCAGGGATGTGAAGACTGGGAGCCTTGGCTCTGTCACCAGGGATAGCATTTTCAGGTAATACCCTGGAGCTAGTATTGCTGGGAGCCACTGTATTCTGTGTCACAAGCTCTGAATTCACAACAGGGCACTGGAGTAGGCTAAGGACTGGTGTATCTAGTGAGAATAAAGCTGGTGCTGATCAGTGACGCTCTGCAGACTCAAATCTGAACTTCAAAGAGAAGTATTTGTTAAAAGGAAGTTTTGGAAGAAAGATTGGGGATATGACTAATTAAAGCAGATATTACATTGCTGTCTTGGAGAAAAGTCACCCTGATATCTCCTAGCTGCCTCATCTGGGGTTTTCCTGTCCTGTCAGGTTACATGTCTGCTGCAGTTACTCCATGATTGGGAGCTTCATTCCCTTGAGTGTTCAGGTCTTCACACTGCCACCACTCCCTGCTGTGTCCCAGTCAGGTCCTCTGACCTTAGAGCTGCATGTAGCCTCGGGTATGAGAGGTTTGAAGAACTTGCTCAAGCCTCTTGGTACAGGGCTCTGGTGTCTGCTGAGTAATAAGGGAGTCTTGATGGGTAAACCCTGGCACCCTTTCCCCGCAATGATTAGAGCTTACTGACATGGCTATAAGGGATGCTCTTGGGTTTCCTATTTTTGTTTGTTCCTGATCAAAAATGGCTCTTGTTTCTTCTGTTCCAGATGAAAGCTATACTTCCTACTATACTGACAGTGACTATCCTGTTGTGAAGACTTTGAGAGACCCTGTTTATGCAGAAGTCAAGACCCGTCAGAGAACAGACCCAGACCTGATTTTGGTCTTGCATCACTGCTGGGCCACACCAAGTATCAATCCCCAGCAACAGCTGCAGTGGCCTGTTTTGGTGGATGGGTAAGTGACTTGTAAATAGCTTTGGGTCAGGGGAATGACTTGCAGTTTTCTTCACTGCTGGCCTTTCCTTTTCAGGTGCCCTTATGCAGGGGACAACTATCAGACACAGCTGGTGCCTCTGAGTCTTGCCTCAGGACTGCAGTTTCCCTCTCATTATCAACGTTTCACCCTCTACACATTCACCCTTGTGCACCCTACTTCTCAAGATACGCTCTCTGGACTGGTAAGATCCTGTCCTTATTGCCTAGCTTACTACTGAGGACAAGTAATATGTATAAGCAATAAGGACCACTTCATAATGATGAGACTCTTGGCCTTCTTGGGGGTGTGGGGGCAAAGACTAGAAATATCCTCTACTGTGAAACAGAAAGGGAGAGGTTGATGTAGGAAACTCTTTATTCCCTGAGGCAAATGTGGTAGAGGTAAGATGCATCATTGGAGGGGTGGGACAGAAAATGAGACTACTGAAAGGCAGGTCTACTTGAGTGCTAGCTTACTGCCTAAGCTGTTCTGTTGAACTAGTTTAGAGTGCATGCTCTCTAATTATGCTAATAGATACTCTCTAAACTAAATTTCTTGGCTAACATTACTTGGAAATAGCTTTAGGTACCTGGGAAGCATCTGGACTTTGAACCATTAACTTCTGAGAGGTTAAGTCACAAAGTTCACTGTGTCTTGTGTGGTCTGCTCAGTGCTCCTGCGATCAATTAATACTCAAAGCTGTTCCCAGCTGTACCTTGTAGTAGTGCTTGGGCAGCTATGACCCAGGTGTCACAGAAAGTGCTGTAATGCCAGATCTGACTGAGTTTGAAGGTGTATGGTAAAGGTATTGAAGCTGCCTTGCAGCAGGCACCAGAGGGCTCCAAGGCTACAGCCTTCATGTGAAGCAAGCCAAAACTATCTTTCTGCCTTCTCCCTTCTATGACCAGGTGCATTGGGTCTGGCTGGGGTGGAGTTAACTTTCCTCATAGCAGCCCATATGGTGCTGTGTTTTTGGATTTGTGGCTAAAACAGTGTTGGTAACACACCAGTGTTCTAGCTATTTGCTGGATAGTGCTTGCACAGCAGGCATCAAGGCTTTTTCTCCTTGCTCTGCTGTTTCTCAGCCCAAAGTGAGTATGCATGGAGTAGGCTAGAAAATGGGAGACAGCACATCTGGGACTGCTGACCCAAACTGGCCAAAGGGATATTCTATGCTGTGTGATGTAATGCTCAGCAATAAACACTGGAGGATTTTGTCTTCCAGTTCAGCTGATGCTCAGACTCTGGTTGGACATCAGCCCACTTGTGGGAGTGGAATGGGTGATTTGCCTTTGCATTTATGCTTTGGTTTTGTTCTTCTCTCTACCCCTGTCCTTCACTTGCCAAACTGTCTATATATCTCCAGCCATGAATTTTCTTGCTCTTTCTCTTAAAAAAAGGCAGGGTAGTGGGAGCGAGGAAGTGGCTGTATGGGTGCCTAGCTGCTGGCCAGGGTCCATGCACCACCCCAGGATATTGCCTGTCTACAGGTACAGCTTGAGTGATTCAAGGCTGTGTCTCATTCTCTCTAGGTGTATCTGCACTGCAGTGCCTCAATGTGCCACCGGTCTGTCCAGGACTCCTGCAGCACCACTTGTCCTGCTAGAGCCAGTAAGCATCCTAGCTTTCCTGCTTCCTCATCTAAAGGGAAAACAAGGGTCTAGCCTCCAGTGTGGAGGCTAGGGTAACATGTAGGCTGTGGACTAGTTCCCTAAAGCCATGGACAGCTTGACAAGGCATTTCCTGCTCCTTTCTGCCAAAAAGGCAGAGGTCTTCATAAGCTCTTAATTCTGTGCTGACTCACTTGGAAGGCTTGGCTTTCAGAGCTTCTCATGTGTTGAAAAGCTGACCTGGACAAAGTTTGCTGACCTTCAGGGTTATACATCATGTCACAGAATCTTAGGAGTTGGAAGGGACCTTGAAAGCCCATCCAGTCCAGTGCCCTGCCAGAGCAGGATCACCCAGACCAGGTCACACAGGAACACGTCCAGGCGGGTTTTGAATGTCTCCAGAGATGGAGACTCCACAACCTCTCTGGGCAGCCTGTTCCA